ATTCATTCAGTCGCTTGTTTCAGTTAGAAATAGGATGGTTCGTGAGGAGGAGAGGTTAAACGGATACAGAAAATGAATAAAGATTTTAAGTGGTGTGTGTATACTGCCCTCTCCAGGATGTTATTGTAAAAAGATTTTACCAAACTGAGTTTTGTATTTATTATTCAGTAGCATATGAAAGAGCAATATTTAACACTGTGTTCCCAATGTCAGCATTCAGTTATTGATAATCTTCATTTCCGTCAAACATGTGTGATTGTACTAAACACATTTACATTCTGTACATACAGTGTGTGCGGTGCAAAGAGACAGGAAGATGGGTAAAGCATCCTCTATCATAGTGTGGATCAGGATTATCATATAACCATAATAATGTAACATATCCCCTTAATATATATAGGGAATAGAAACGTCGGATTTATATTTATTCAGATGAGTTTGTGTCTTGTGCTTGATGTAATTTGATATATTTCATATAACATTTGAAAATAGTATTTGTGTGCATTTTTCATAAAAAAATAAACTTAAACTTCTATAACTTTTTTATTTCACTTTTTTTCTCTCTCACTTTAGCAATAATCTGTGAAGTGTCTTCTTTCAAAACAGACCAAACTTAAGTCTGTGCGCCAAAGCATTCAAGATTTACATCCGTTTAAGTTGGAAATTTCATTTTTAGGTCTGTTCTTAAAAAGTGGTTAACAAGCAATAAATGAATTATAACTGCATAAATATAATTTAGTACCATACATCCCATAAAAATACAAAACATTAAATAAAAAACAATATCAAACTAAAATATAGAATATTTATATAGAATAAAGAAATCTGTCATTTTTGACCGCCATGCACTGTATGTTGTTGTGGACTGTTTTTTTTTTTCCCACCCTCAACAACATATTTTTCTGAAGACAGTGGTTGTATTGTATCAGCAAAAGAAGTTCCTGTGGAAAAGAACAGTCTCAATTAAACAAGCAGTTTTTGTTTGTTTGTTTGTTTGTTTGTTTTCATAATAAACAAATTGATTGAATGAATATCTCTTACCCATGCAAAGTTGGATTATTATCCAGGTAAAGACAAACATGATGTCTTCAGAGAGACAGTGATGGCAAAAATAGTGTTTGAATAAATGTTTGACTCTGTCTCACACTCTCAAAAGTGTGAATAAACTCCTCCCACTGCTGGAGACTGTTGATTTTCTAACAATAGGAAAAAAATGCTTATGTCAGAAACTGCTTGAATGTATGTATATATATATACATATATTAAAAAAAGGAAGTTATTTATAATATCCATTTAAGAATGTAGCAAACGCATATGGTTTTGCCTTTGCTGATGTTCATGAGTTGCTGAGGCTGATGGTCAAGAAAAGCCAAGAATAGTGGAATTATGTAAACAAAGATTTGTAATAAGATAAGTAAGATTAGTAATATTCAATGAAAAAATGCATGTAATTATGTCTTATCTTTTGAACCAGATTTGGTTTGGTTGTAATCTGTGATGTTTTTCAAATAATATTATTATACTAAATTATGTTATACTAACCAAAGCAAAATATTTTATATATGAGTTTTATACTTAAATACATATAATACCTAAAAAAAACTTGAATGATTACAATTAAGTAATTATAAGGTAGGAAAAGTTAGAAGAAGAAAAAAGAAATTGAGTTGCATGAAATTAAAAAGGCAGAAATGGAACATGATATCCTGAACAGATTCTTAATATTTTCTTTGAAGTTTTATAACAGGCCCAATTCAGACTCTCACAGGTGTGACCACATATTTTATTACATTCAGGGCTGGATAGATTGGGGTTCTGATTGTGGTTTTCACTAGATATTTTCAAAGTGAAAAGAGCTTCAGGTTTTTGTACAACATTCTTCATGTTTTGTATCACTGGGCTGCTACTCTTAGAGCACAATAATAGAGAGCTAAATCTAACAGATGTACATCAGTAATAGTGAGTTCAGTGGATGTTTGTGTCGTAGCTGAATGAAACCGATCATCAGAGGTGTCTTCATAATCACCCGATGACCGTGCATATTTATATAATAAGAATTGTGGTTCTCTGTTGTGATACTGTCTGTACCAGTAAAGCCAAACATATTCACTATTTGTACTGTATGAGCAGCTCAGCTTGACAGTTTCTGTTTTTAACAGTTTTTTCTGTCCCTTTATCTGGCTCAATATTGTCTCCAGTCACCAAACCTGTCAACAATAAGCACAAATTAACAGATTTTTGATTTGTGAAAGCTAACAAAATTATATATCACAAGCATATTTCACAGCACTTTTTACAAAATAATAATAATAATAATAATAATAATTAAATAAAAATGAGTAAATAAAATATTTAAAAAAAACATACTGTGCTAGTGTAAATAGACTGTTTCAGTTGTTTTCACTCATAAATAATGTACCTGTTCCCACAATGAGAATCAGTATGAAGCATCTGTCCATGTTCAATCAGATCAGCTCAGTTCTCTGTTGAGGCTCTCGGTGCTCTGAGCTGTAAGTCACTGCAGATCAGTCATAAACACACAGAGGAACTTCCTGCTTTATAAAGGCATGGCTCGATGTCTTTGCATTTTTCACTGTGTCTAATTTCCTGCCATTTCTCATGAGCATGGAAATATTACTGATGAAAATATAAAGAATATTTATTTGGTAATTGAATAGTCTAGCTATTTTATATATATATTATAGAATAAAAAATAGCGTTATCTCCATGTGAATGTGTGTGAACACTGCCATCGTGTGGCATTCATGATCCTGCCCCATGTGTTGCACATGAGAATAATTTGAGATGTTTTAATGTTTGTCATATTTGACTGTGTCCTGAATTACAGAATATTTTAAATTGATTTGTCAAAGCACAGTATTATAGGGATTTAATGTTCTTCATCTTTATTATGCCAAAGATTCACTTACTTTAGAATGTTTTTGATTGTTTTACCAATACACTGTAAGTGTAGATAAAATATTTAACACATTTTGCAAAATTACCCATACATTCACTTATACTTGGATTGTAAAATTTAAGTAAAGCTTAAAACATTAAAAAATAAATAAAAATAGTTTTGAACAACATGTTAGTAAATGTTTTTGGAATTACAATTTTGGAATTTTGTACATGGCAAAATAATTTAAATAATGACCTAACTATTACTATGGCTAATTTTTTAATAGATCAGTGACTACTGTTCCTTGGTTGTTGCTCATTTTCCAAATCTCTTATCGGGAATTGTGGTCGTTGTGTAACATGTCTTTCCACATCTTAATCTGGTGAGTTCTTTGCTTGGGAGATTTCATTTCTGCACCTGTGAAGAGCAAATAATATACAAGTATCTATTACTAAAGGTCTACCTTAATGCACCAAGCTGAATTAAATTAAATATATTCTGTAGTAATGCACATGTTGTTTGACAGACTATATACAGCACTAATTGCAGTGATTGCCCAGCATGATTAATATTTAAAGTGTGCATCATCCTAATTAAAGGGATAGTCCACCCAAAAATGAAAATCATTTACTCCCCCTCGTGTTCTTCATAGTATCTTCTTTTGAGCTCTGCAGAAAAGCAAAATTCAGAGGTTTGGAAAAAAATGAGGGGGTAATGATGTAAATGTTGACAGAGTCCTGTGTAAGCTACACTTTTAAGTAAATGAGTAGAAACACTCTTCACTAGTCATCACTGTGCAGAAAAATAACAGTGAATGCTGCAATGAAATGCTTGAAAAATACACATTCAGCTGATCCAAAGCTTCCTGCTGGTCAGTTTGTCTCTTCAGTTATGATTGCCCCAGTTGTTGCAACAAATTACACGGTATAATGGTCAATGCAGACATTTACTTGAACTTACTTCCTCTTTGGCTCTAACTGCTTGTTGTTAGTTCAGTCAGAGAAGTATAAAAAGTTGATGCACTGTCTTGGACTCAAGACTGCTTGGTGTTCACAGGTGTCTGAGGAGTAACTTCTGCCATTTTATTTACAAAACCATGCAATTACAGCAAAAAAAAAAAAAAACAGCAGGTACACAATAAGTGTAGATAAAACATTGAACACATTTTGCAAAATTACCCATGCATTTACTTATACTTGGATTGTAACATTTAAGTAAAGCTTAAAAAAACATAAAAAAATTATTTTTTTAGAACAACATGTTGGTAAATGTTTTTGGAATTAAACATTTTGTACTTGGCAAAATAATTTTAATCATTATCTAACTATTACTATGAATCATTTTTGAGTGGATCAGTGACTACTGTTCCTTGGTTGTTGCTCATTTTCCAAATCTCTTATCGGGAATTGTGGTCGTTGTGTAACATGTCTTTCCACATCTTAATCTGGTGAGTTCTTTGCTTGGGAGCTTTCATTTCTGCACCTGTAAAGAGCAAATAATATACAAGTATCTATTACTAAAGGTCTACCTTAATGCACCAAGCTGAATTAAATTAAATATATTCTGTAGTAATGCACATGTTGTTTGACAGACTATATACAGCACTAATTGCAGTGATTGCCCAGCATGATTAATATTTAAAGTGTGCATCATCCTAATTAAAGGGATAGTCCACCCAAAAATGAAAATCATTTACTCCCCCTCGTGTTCTTCATAGTATCTTCTTTTGAGCTCTGCAGAAAAGCAAAATTCAGAGGTTTGGAAAAAAATGAGGGGGTAATGATGTAAATGTTGACAGAGTCCTGTGTAAGCTACACTTTTAAGTAAATGAGTAGAAACACTCTTCACTAGTCATCACTGTGCAGAAAAATAACAGTGAATGCTGCAATGAAATGCTTGAAAAATACACATTCAGCTGATCCAAAGCTTCCTGCTGGTCAGTTTGTCTCTTCAGTTATGATTGCCCCAGTTGTTGCAACAAATTACACGGTATAATGGTCAATGCAGACATTTACTTGAACTTACTTCCTCTTTGGCTCTAACTGCTTGTTGTTAGTTCAGTCAGAGAAGCATAAAAAGTTGATGTACTGTCTTGGACTCAAGACTGCTTGGTGTTCACAGGTGTCTGAGGAGTAACGTCTGCCATTTCTTCAGCGAAGACACTTCTCTTGGTTACTACAAAACAGAAACATATTAAAAGCATTTTGTGGCATGTTAAGGGAAATAATCAGATATTCCTGTGTGTCTCTACATGCTGAGTGAAGAAGCAACTGAAGTGATAAACTGTGGAGCTGTGTTTGTGTTGTAGTCAGTAGTAAGATACACGTAAAGTCTGCTTACATTTAGCAACTGTAAAAGCAGGGCAGAGCTATTGCAGATGATTTTAGACATACTGATGCATATTAATTTGATTGCTGTTCATTCTCATCATGAAAACAACTGAAAGCTTATGTATTTAGTTAATTGATGTTATTTGAAAACAATGATCTTCTATAGAATTAGCAATAGAGCAAATCATGTCTTCACACTCACGATAGAAAACATCTCGTTCATGTATTAGTTTTAGGTGGTAAGCATACCGAAGGTTTTCGGGCAAATCAAGAAAGCCACATTCACTGCAGTCTCGCACAAGAAGTTAACTTTTTCAAGTTCCTTTATGAGCGCCTGCTAAGTAAAATACAAAAAAATGTAAATGCACATCGATGCTTACCAGAAACATTTAATCAATATGACCCCATACATCTTCTGCTCTTGGAAAATAAGCCATTGTGATTTGCTTTTATCACTGCCCACAGCACAGCAGAACGACAGCATGTTGCAATTCGGTCCTACAAATGGCGGCCGAACCACTGTGTGACGTCACATGAAATCTATGAATACGTTGAAAGTCCTGAGGTGCACTTATGATCTTAGTATGTTTTTTTTTTCATTAAAAATAGTCATAATTTAGATACAAATGGGCATTTTCTACCCTGAATTTAGCCCTCTGATTTGAACACTCTGTTTGAAGGGACGTCTCTGCTGTAAGACTTCAGTGTTCAGAACACCTTTCCACATGAAATTAGTATTATATGCAGAACTCTCTTGAAAACATTTACTGAGATTTTATTATAACAGCAACTAAAATTAACTAATGGTGAAAAGTGTTCTTTATGGCTTTTTATTTAAAACTCCTCTCATTGCATCAAAGGTTGCAGCGCTGCACTGTAGCCAAACATGATGGATATACTTTTATCATAACTAACATAATGAAAACACGACTCATTGAGAATTGTGTAAACTGTCATTGGTTACAACATTTTTTTTTGGTGAAAATGCAGAAATCAAATGACTGATAGACTCATGCTGATCTTGAATTGACTGCTGCAGTGATTATAAAAAAACGATCTTTGATTGCTTTCTGTATATAAAATAATCACGATATAGGTAACAGAGTTGCCACGCTTCTAACAGGAACAGTGTGAAGTTGATGGTTTAGTCACTAGATTCACTAATGCATAAACAGCAGTAAACCATTTTACGGTAAAGAATGTTTGTACATGAGTCCTTACATATTACCAGTGGTGGACAGTAACGGAGTGGTTTTACTTCGTTACTGTACTTAAGTACATTTTTAAGTAGGCCTAGCCTATCTAAGTATTTAAGTATCTGTACTTTACTGGAGTAGTTTTATTTTGAGTAACTTTTGCTTTTACTTTTCTGGGGGGGGGCGGGGCCCCCCTGCCAACAAGCTTGGCCCCCCCCTTTGGTCCCCCCTAAATTTGGAATCATATCACACCAAACAATTGTGGGTGAAATGCGCAGTTTGTCCTGTAAATTATGCATATAAAAAAAAGAAAAACTTTTAAAGCAGTTCAATAATAGCATGGGATTGGTTATAATGCGCAGTGCTTTAACATTTCTGATTTTATACGTGTTATAGTTGTGGTACAGAAGTTGATATCGTGCAGATTTGCATGTCACATAATTGAGCACTTGCTCTGTTTTTGTGTGAGTGTTGAGTGTGTTTTAGTCACTGTGGACCTCAGAGCACAGTAGTACACAGCAGAGTCAGACACACGCAGATTCTTGATCATCAGTGGAACTGAATCTGATGACACTTCAGAATGAAATCTCTCCTGAAACTGGGCATCATTATCTGCTCCTCCATATTTGTTTCTCATCAGGATGTATTTAGGAAAGTCATTTGCTCTCTGGATGTACCAGAAAAGTTCTGGTTGTGATAAAGCTGTTTTATATTTGCATTGTAATGTTACTGATCTTTCTTCAAATTCAGTGATGTTTTTATCTGGCTGATCAACACTGTCTTCTCCATGGCACTCTGTAAAAACATACAAAAATGTAATAATAAACTGTAAACATTTTGTGTAAACATTTACTTGTAATAAGCTTATAAAACTGTTTGAAGTAATTATGAAAATACAAATTCCCCCACTTACCATGATAAACCGATGCAAAAATGAACAGCTTCAACAACATAGGGGTTATCATTTTTATGTGTGACTGAAACAGGAGAAAAAGATAAATCATTCATTCAGTCGCTTGTTTCAGTTAGAAATAGGATGGTTCGTGAGGAGGAGAGGTTAAACAGATACAGAAAATGAATAAAGATTTTAAGTGGTGTGTGTATACTGCCCTCTCCAGGATGTCATTGTAAAAAGATTTTACCAAACTGAGTTTTGTATTTATTATTCAGTAGCATATGAGAGAGCAATATTTAACACTGTGTTCCCAATGTCAGCATTCAGTTATTGATAATCTTAATTTCCGTCAAACATGCGTGATTGTACTAAACACATTTACATTCTGTACATACAGTGTGTGCGGTGCAAAGAGACAGGAAGATGGGTAAAGCATCCTCTATCATAGTGTGGATCAGGATTAACATATAACCATAATAATGTAACATATCCCCTTAATATACAGTATATAGGGAATAGAAACGTCATATTTATATTTATTAAAAGATGTGAGATGAGTTTGTGTCTTGTGCTTGATGTAATTTGATATATTTCATATAACATTTGAAAATAGTATTTGTGTGCAGTTTTCATTAAAAAATAAACTTAAACTTCTATAACTTTTTTATTTCACTTTTTTTCTCTCTCACTTCAGCAATAATCTGTGAAGTGTCTTCTTTCAAAACAGACCAAACTTAAGTCTGTGCGCCAAAGCATTCAAGATTTACATCCGTTTAAGTTGGAAATTTCATTTTTAGGTCTGTTCTTAAAAAGTGGTTAACAAGCAATAAATGAATTATAACTGCATAAATATAATTTAGTACCATACATCCCATAAAAATACAAAACATTAAATAAAAAACAATATCAAACTAAAATATAGAATATTTATCTAATTGAAATAAAGAAATTGGTCATTTTTGACCGCCATGCACTGTATGTTGTTGTGGACTGTTTTTTTTTTCCTTAGCGGAAGATTTAAAATGCAATAGCTACAGGTAAGATTAAAATAAACTCAAACTTTAACTGTAAAATCAATTTCATATTAATTTATACTGTATGTGGCTGACAATAACTGTACATTATCCCTAACATATATATATATATATATATATATATATATACATGTATTAAAAAAGGAAGTTATTTATAATATCCATTTAAGAATGTAGCAAACGCATATGGTTTTGCCTTTGCTGATGTTCATGAGTTGCTGAGGCTGATGGTCAAGAAAAGCCAAGAATAGTGGAATTATGTAAACAAAGATTTGTAATAAGATAAGTAAGATTAGTAATATTCAATGAAAAAATGCATGTAATTATGTTTTATCTTTTGAACCAGATTTGGTTTGGTTGTAATCTGTGATGTTTTTCAAATAATATTATTATACTAAATTATTTTATACTAACCAAAGCAGAATATTTTATATATGAGTTTTATACTTAAATACATATAATACCTAAAAAAAACTTTAATGATTACAATTAAGTAATTATAAGTTAGGGAAAAAAAAGAAATTGAGTTGCATGAAATTAAAAAGGCAGAAATGGAACATGATATCCTGAACATATTCTTAATATTTTCTTTGAAGTTTTATAACAGGCCCAATTCAGACTCTCACAGGTGTGACCACATATTTTATTACATTCAGGGCTGGATAGATTGGGGTTTTGATTGTGGATTTCACTAGATATTTTCAAAGTGAAAAGAGCTTCAGGTTTTTGTATGACATGTTTCATGTTTTGTATCACTGGGCTCCTACTCTTAGAGCACAATAATAGAGAGCTGAATCTGACAGACGTACATCGGTAATAGTGAGTTCAGTGGATGTTTGTGTTGTAGCTGAATGAAACCGATCATCAGAGGTGTCTTCATAATCACCCGATGACCGTGCATATTTATATAATAAGAATTGTGGTTCTCTGTTGTGATACTGTCTGTACCAGTAAAGCCGAACATATTCACTACTTATACTGTTGATCTCTGTTGTGATACTGTCTGTACCATTAAAGATAAACATAATCACTACTTGTACTAGGTCTATGTGAGCAGCTCAGCTTGACAGTTTCTGTTTCTTTAGAAGTTTTTTCTGTCCCTTTATCTGGCTCAATGCTGTCTCCAGTCACCAAACCTGTCAACAATAAGCACAAATTAACAGATTTTTGATTTGTGAAAGCTAACAAAATTATATATCACAAGCATATTTCACAGCACTTTTTACAAAATAATAATTATAATAATTAAATAAAAATGAATAAATAAAATAAATCTTTTAAAAAACATACTGTGCTAATGTAAATAGACTGTTTCAGTTGTTTTCACTCATAAATAATGTACCTGTTCCCACAATGAGAATCAGTATGAAGCATCTGTCCATGTTCAATCAGATCAGCTCAGTTCTCTGTTGAGGCTCTCAGTGCTCTGAGCTGTAAGTCACTGCAGATCAGTCATAAACACACACAGGAACTTCCTGCTTTATAAAGGCATGGCTTGATGTCTTTGCATTTTTCAGTGTCTAATTTCCTGCCATTTCTCATGAGCATGGAAATATTACTGATGAAAATATAAAGAATATTTATTTGGTAATTGAATAGTCTAGCTATTTTATATATATATTATAGAATAAAAAATAGCGTTATCTCCATGTGAATGTGTGTGAACACTGCCATCGTGTGGCATTCATGATCTTGCCCCATGTGTTGCACATGAGAATCATTTGAGATGTTTTAATGTTTGTCATATTCGACAGTGTCCTGAATTACAGAATATTTTAAATTGATTTGTCAAAGCACAGTATTATAGGGATTTAATGTTCTTCATCTTTATTTTGCCAAAGATTTACTTACTTTAGAATGTTCCTTTGATTTTATCATTTTGCCAAAGACTGATTAAATGAGTTGTGTCCTTTCTGATTTAGGTAACTGCCTGTGGTTTATTAACTTATTCTCATTATTTCTTAGACATATTGTTGTAATTGGCAGTTACTACTTCCTCATTGTCTTTTTCTCTGTTTCTCTATTGTCTCTCATTGTAACAGGTTTTTGTAGAGAGCTGATGTGTTTCCTGTGACTGTGGGCCTCCGAGCACAGTAGTACAGAGCAGAGTCTGATACAGCAGCAGAGGAGATCTTCAGATCCACATGGATTTGTTCCCTTTTTTCAGCTTTAACAGAGAATCTTGGATCTACATCAGACACTGCAGCTTCCTTTGCACTACCGTAGGTGAGTACAAGAAATTCAGGTTTTGATCTTTCATACTGACGGTACCAGTGGATATTATCTGAAGCTACAGGTGATTGACTACAGGACAATGTAATATCTGAACCCTCTTCATAAACAACATCAGTTTTGTTTGGTTTGATGACATTTCCAAAGACAGCAGCTGAAAAAGAAAACATTTATTCTCAGTGAAATGTTTTAAATTAAACAAAATTTATAATTAACTAAATATTTACCTGCTGATGCACAGAACAGAAAAACTGAATAAAGATCCATTTTACAAGTGTTCACTCTGAGAAGAGTCAGACTGAATAGTTTCTACCAAAGTCTCTGTCAAGCACATTAGATCATGTCAGATCTGTGAACACAGAGTCCCTCCTCTCTGAGCCACATGATACCCAAATTCAGTTCTGTAAATTCAATGCTGATGTTTATTGCTGCATTTCCTAGTGAATCTCTGAGAACACTGCCACCTTGTGGCACATTATACCAGCACAGTGTGTTACACATGATAATCCACTAAACATAAATTTTAGGCTACTTTTGTATGGATTTGGTGTAATAAACAGTATTAGCATGCTTATTGTACTTTGAAAGTCACATTAATTTAAAGGGGTCATAAAATGCTTTTCCTGAGGTGCACTTATAGTCTTAGTATGTGTTTTTTGTTTTTTCATCAAAAACGTAATTTAGATACAAATGGGCCTTTTCTACCCTGAACTTAGCCCTCTGATTTGAACACTCTGTTTGAAGGGACATCTCTGCTGTTAGACTTCAGTGTAAACACCTTTCCACATGAAATGAGTATTATATGCAGAACTCTCTTGAAAACATTTACTGAGATTTTATTATAACAGCCGCTAAAATTAACTAATGAAAAGTGTTGTTTATGGCTTTTTATTTAGAACTCCTCTCATTGCATCAAAGGTTGCAGCGCTGCACTGTAGCCAAACACAGTCATGACGGATATACTTTTATCATAACTAACACAATGAAAACACGACTCATTGAGAATTGTGTAAAGTGTCATTGATTATAACATTAGTTTTGGTGAAAATGCAGAAATCAAATGACTGATAGACTCATGCTGATCTTGAATTGACTGCTGCAGTGATTATAAAAAAACGATCTTTGATTGCTTTCTGTATATAAAATAATCACGATATAGGTAACAGAGTTGCCACGCTTCTAACAGGAACAGTGTGAAGTTGATGGTTTAGTCACTGGATTCACTAATGCATAAACAGCAGTAAACCATTTTACGGTAAAGAACGTTTGTACATGAGTCCTTATATATTACACCGATCACTGGTCATGATGGTCATGAAATGCAGTTTCAAATCAAGATCAGTTTAAAAAGTTTGCAAATTGTTTGCAGCTTTCTTTACCTAACAGCTGTATCGGTTTTGTGTTTGATGGACAGACATGAGATGTTCACAACACGCCTCTTTGATACGACGATCATGATTCTCTCTCTTTTAAAAACAGGCGTTTCAGAAGCATATAATTTTGAGTTTTGAAACTTTCAGTATATTTTTGTTATTGTAGAGTAACATCCTATAAAATCCTACATATTTTTTTATTTTATTTCATTTCTTTTTTTTTATAAATGCTGTTAGCAATTACATTGTGAAATGTACCTTTCACTTACAGTACATATGATCACGGAAATTTTGGGTTTGTACTAAGTTATTAAATCTAATTTAAAACGTGTCTTTGAATGTATTTTATCAGACTTTTGCTCTCAGTGTCTGAGTTGGCAATTTAAGAACATGATTCTCTTGATTGTTATGTGTCCCAG